TGCTGTTTCTCTTCAGAGTCAATTAAGTGACTAAAGGCACTCCCAAGACCTGAAGTATGGTGCAGACCCAAGCGTTACCTGCCTATAGCTAGCAGAAGTCTGGTAGAAATCTGGTTAGACCATACTGCTTTGATAGATTTCTGTGAGAAGATGCACCCTTTTTTCTTGTATCTCATCAGCAAGATGAGCCTTGCAGGCCGAGTGCCATTCATCGACAGAAAAACTTGGGTGCTTTTGCACCTGATGTCATACAGCCATACACAAGGGGAACTATTACGCCTGAGACGCCAGTTTTAGTTGCTACCAGGTGTCTAAGGATCTTTATTGAAATTGTGATTTATGGAGTTTTATAATACCTACAAAATTATTGCCGTTGGGGATCAGTCATGGTTGATTTTGTTTTGGAAGCTTTTCATAATCTCCAAAGGAAATGAGCTTTAGGTAGTTGTGCTTGCCAGTACCTCTTTCTCCCCAAGTAACTTTTGAACCTGTTTGCCATGTTCCTCTGCATCTCACAGAAATCCCCAAGACTTGCAGTATTGTGGAGTAGAAAGGCTAAAGAAAGCTTGAAGTTACTGCAGAACTAGGTGAGGAGTATGGGGTGCAAGTCTTCAGGAAGCAAGCTTTTAAAATTCTAAAGCTTGTAGAGCAATTTGTAAATTTTGCTGCCATTGCTGGTTTTACAATTAGTGAAAATAAAGGCAGAGGCTTTTCTCAAGTCACTTGGGTTATAACAGCTATAAGGCAATGGAAAAACATCTATGCTTAGACCCATTGTTATCACTTTGCTGTTGCTGCCATGTAGGGGATGGAGAATGCTTATTCCAGGCTGACTAATTAAGGAATGACAGCTGGTTGGAAATAATCATTCTACTTTTGCAAGAGCTGTGAGCAACTTAACAAGAATTTTGGAAAAAATGAACGTATAAACAGGATTAATTGACAGTATTTAGAAAGCTGCGTTTCCACTGTGAGAAGCTGCTAGGCTCTTGTGGTTGTGGGGGTAAAAAAATCAAGCCTGTTCTTCTGGAGTCTGCAAGAGCAGGTCAGTCGTATTGCAGGGGCTCACGGCCTTGCCAGAGTAACTGGAATGAGAGGTCATGGGTCGCAGCAGGTGTTGATGCTGTTCAGCAGCAGAGCTGCAGGGACATGAAGTCTGCGTTGATGCCACTTCAAAGCTACTTGAGAAACCTGCCGCCGTGGTTTAACCCCAGCAGGCCACTAAGCCCCACACAGCGGCGCTCTCGCTTCTCCGTGGTGGAATGGGGGAGAGTATTGGAAGGGTAAAAGAGAGAAAACTCGTGGGTTAGATAAAGACAGTTTAATCGGTAAAGCAAAAGCCGTGTGCGGCAGCAGAGCAAACCAAGGAGTTCATTCACCACTTACCCCTCGGCAGGCAGGCGGGCAGCCGTCTCCGGGACAGCAGGGCTGCATCACACCTAACAGTGACTTGGGAAGACAGGCACCATCACTCTGAATGTCCCCCCTTTCCTTCTTCCTCCCCCAACTTTACAAGCTGAGCGTGACATCATACAGTATGGGGCATCGCTTTGGTCAGTTGGGGTCAGCTATCCCGGCTGTGTCCCCTCCCAGCTGCTTGTGCACCCCCAGCCTGCTCACTGGTGGGGTGAGGAGCAGAAAAGCCTTGACTCTGTGCAAGCACTGCGCAGCAGTAGCAGAACCATCCCTGTGTTATCAGCACCGTTTCCAGCAGAAATCCAAAGCACAGCCCCATACGAGCTTCTGTGAAGAAAATCAACTCTGCTCCAGCCAAAACAGCACCCCTGCAGAGGCACCCCAGCACGGTAGCTTTATGTAGAGGGTGGGTGGTGCAGACAACAAGGTACAGGTTGAGAGAAGGGAACAGCATGATGAAGGGAAGAGTTGAGCTTGTAGATGCCTATCTTTCTTCTTGCACAAGAGCTGGAGTCATTCCTGAGCAAGGACTAGTGACGCCAGCTGTTAGGCATTTCGAAATTCTTTTGCCAAGTGCTGTGGATGTACAGGACAGATTAGAGTTGTCTAATTGCTTCTTCCAGACAACAGGACAGGATCCACCCCGTCATCTTTTAGCCTTCAGTTAGTAGGCTTAAGTGCTTTAGAGAGACGTTGTAGTCTGAGTTGGAATGTGTGTGATCTGGGGAATGACCCCCAAAATTAAATGTTTAAGACAGAGTTAGAGTGAATTTATTAGGAAAAGAAGATATAATAGGGAAAACAAGCTATATATTTGGGAGCAGAAGGGGAGAGAATGAAGGGTTAAAACCCTCAAGTGCTAAAATGTAAGAAGACAATGTGGAGTGAGTTTAGGATGGGAAAAGAGAAAACACAACAAACACTTTAGTAGTGGGTACCATTAAGTGAACGCAGCTACCTACTTCCTGGTTAAATACATAAATGCAATGTTAAATTTCCAGCCTAAAAATCAATCTGTAGTCTGTCCTCACATTCATGGCCCAGATGTTGAGAGGACGTGGAAGTATCTCTCACCAGCAGTACTGCCTGTGCCAGGCTGCTCATTTGCAGATCCAAGACACTGTCCTCTTAGCCAAGATATTCTCTGAAGGAAGGGGGGCGAGTGGGGCAGGAGAAATGCAGTCCTCCTACTCCTCCCTTCTATCAGTGGACATGCCAAGGATGTAGCATCTCCCTAAAGCCCGCTACCCAGGGCTTTTTTTTTTTGCCTAGGCAGCAACAGAGGCACAGTAGAATTGAGTAGGTGTGCACCAAAGACAAAAAACTTGCTCTGCAGTCAATGGCCTCCTGTGGAAGTTTGGTCATTTTGTTGAAGTTTGTGTTCTTGCACGCTTTGTGTCACACCTCTGCTCTGCTGTAGCCTTAATAAATGCTCCTAGAATGAAAAGGCACAATATTTGGGAGATAGTTATTACCCTACATCCCAGGGAAAGTTAGCAATGATCTCTGAGATGTTTCCCAATAAAGGAGCAGAAGAAAGCAATGGCAGAGTCTTGCCGTGACCTACTGAAGGAAAGCTAGGTTGGGGCTAGATTGGTATAAAGTGGCATTTCTGCTGAATATACTGACCCAAGCCATCCGTGTTTGATGTTTCAGTGAAAGTTCCTGTTCCGTGCTCGTAGCTCACAGGATCGATGCATTTATTTAGCCTTCAACTGCAAAAGGGGATGAGATGTTCCTTACTCATTTAAGGACATACTAATTGAAAACACTCTTAACAACATATATTCACTGTGATGAGTATTTCTACGCTTTCAAAGTTAAAATAAAATCAAATTCAAAAAACCTCTACATAATTCCCTGGAGTCATGCTTGCTTTCCAGGGTAGTTTTAACTGGTGTGGGCCAGTTGGGTACCAGTAAGTCTACGGCTGATTTGTGCTCCCTCTTGTGGCCCTTTGTGGTGCGAAAGCATCGTTTGCACGTCAGTGATAGTGCTGGTTATGAACAGCGTGTTGTTATGAATACCCGGAGTGGTCCTCAAGAGACTGTCATTTTGAAATGTGTCAAGTGTGGTTTACTTTTCCAGTGTTGCTGTTCCATGTATGTCCAGAAACACTGAATTATATGTGTCTGTGGAGTAACACAACATCTTTACTGCCTTTGTCCGTTTGTGGATTCCCCGCTAGCCGTCTCCCGGGCTTGTATTTGTCGTTGTCATGTGTGTCATAACTAGACAGACTTGAGTCTTTCCATCACCCAGTGGATGTAGTTTTTACAATGCAATCTTTCATCCGTGTTTTTTCACACCTAACTGCAAGGCAGAAAACGGTTCAAGGTGAACTTCAGCCAGAGCAGCGTAGTCAGGCCGTGGGGGAAAGCTTGCCCAGAGGGAGAGGCAATACTGTTAGTTTTTCAGGTTTTCTGGTTTTGGTGTGGTACATCCCTTATGCAAGAAAGAGGAGGAGATGAAGCGGTGAATGCTTGTGAGGTGGAATTGTGTTTTGAATGGGGAGGGATGTAGTTGTGAAGGGGTTAATCCATCATCTGTGATGGCAAGAATAAAGGGATTGTGTGACTTACTCCATCATGTGTTGAGTGTGTTGTTCCTCTTTCTGCTGAGACAGCTGATAGAGGGGAAGAAGGCTGAAATAAATACAGACAATGTTTTAAGACATTCAGTTTTTCATGATAGCTCTCTGCCAGTTAGCTGGTGTCTCCTGGGCACCACGCTGGGCAGGACAGGGTTGGTGGGAAGCTAAATGAGCAGTAATTGCCTAGGCGTGGGGTACCAGTGAGTCGGTGGAAATAGATGGTAATTGTGGTATGGACAGCGAAGGGGAGCAGATAATTAAAAAACAAAAAGGGAAAAAATGAGTGAAAGATTTTGAAAAACTGAGGTAAGCTCCAAAAGGAACATTTGCAGCTGAATGTTTATAGAAATTCTCACATCCCTTGATCTTGAACAAAAGGGAAGAAAACAGTAGGGAGGAGCAGTTACGGTGTGGGGAGAGCACTGTAATTAAGTCGGGGTGAAGAAAGATGGTGACTGCCAAGGGTTATAGGACACAGACTGTGGCAGTGAATTACAGAGGCATTCTGCAGGGAGCGGTCCCTCCTCCTTGTGGTAAGCTAGAGCTGGGAAAAAAAAAAAAAATCATACTGTGTTGCATGCAAGTAGTGTATAGTGATTTTTTTTTTTTCAACTAGATACAATTTAAGTTTGGCAGAAAGTGCTAGTTGATTACTTTGACAGGTTTAATTACTTCGGCTTGAGTAGGATGAAAGTGAATTTATTTCCCAGTGAGAAAAGCATTGAAAGGCTGCATGAAAACCTGTCAAAGGAAATTGAAGAGGGGCTGGGGAGTTATCTTTACAGTAAATGGAATTGATAAACATGTCAGTTAAAAGGGGAATTTATTTATACTACCCAGGTTTTGTAGCCAGAAGTCTTTAATAATTCCGTTCACTGGGAAAATGAATTTTATCTGTTCAATTGATTTGCTTTTTCATAATGCTTGTAGAGCAAGGAATTGCTGTAGAATAAAAAATTGAAGTTATAATTCTTTTTTTTTTTTTCCCTAGAACACGTCAGTAATGGAGGATCAGAATGAAGATGAGTCTCCAAAGAAAAATACCCTATGGCAGGTAGGACTAACATTCACGTAGAAAGATAGATAGAGAGTTGGCATCATTATATATGTTCCTGCTTTTGAGCAACCAAATCTTGCGTCTGCATAATCATCCTTGTGTGTAGTTGACTGTATCGTGCTAAAATTAGCTCATTTTCAAGTGGTGAATAATACTTGAGAAATTACTAGATCTTCTCAGATTTTATAGTTTGTGCTGACCTTCAAAGGACAGTTCTGCATCAAAGGATATTTGGGAATACAGTCCAATCTTTCTGAGCACGTGACTGTTATTTAAAAGGAAAAATTCAATATCTTCACAAGGAGTTGCAACCAATTTGTTTTGAAGAAGTTTGGGAATATTTCAGAGAGCTGACAGTTGTTCCCCAGCAGCCCTCTTGGTCTCCTGAAGGGCTCAGAAGAGCCCAGCATCAATCTTTGGTTCTATTTACTAATTAGCAGTAAGTCCTGGGGTGGTGTTCTTGCAGCATCCTTATTTGTAGCTAAAGCTCCCGGGATTTTATTGATGTTTTTGTGTGGATGTCCCAAACGTTGACATGAGCTGATTTTCAAAAACAAGACAAGCCCTTGACATTGCGTAATGCTCAGTTATCTTTTATGGAGAAGTGGCTCAACACTGACACGAGGGTCTTGAATTTCTGTGTTAGAGTGTTAATACCCAACTTTGTCGCTGAACGTGTGTTGTTTTAACTGCTAGAACCTGCGTAGATCGTTTGTGGAGGCAGGCTGCAATGTGCAGCACAGGCCAGCTGCAATGTGCTGGTTTAATCTGGAAAGTTTCTTCTAAAAAGAATTAAGTTCTTTGCTGTTTGCATGGTAAGAGGTGTAAGGGAATTCAAGTCTTTCAGTGTAAGAAGTAACTTACAATTGTGGGCAAAGTCCTTTCATCGATGTTTATGAAAGATGAGATTTATATGGCGTAACTTGTAGCTTCAAGAATGTGTTTTTAAAATTTAGTTTTGTTATTTCTTTGTATCTCAGTACTCTTCCTTGAGACAGTTCTTACAAAGTCATTCCTACTGTTTGTATTTGAATACTGATATTCCTTTTCTATAAACAGATAAGTAATGGAACTTCATCTGTGATTGTCTCAAGAAAAAGACCATCGGAAGGAAACTACGAAAAGGAAAAAGACTTGTGTATTAAATATTTTGACCAGTGGTCTGAATCAGATCAAGTTGAATTTGTGGAACACCTTATTTCACGAATGTGTCACTATCAGCATGGACATATTAACTCGTACTTGAAGCCCATGTTACAACGGGACTTCATCACTGCGTTACCAGGTAAACTAATACTGATGTTACAAGAGGTGTGCATATAAATGCTTTGTTTTGTTTAATCCTTTGGCTGTATGCAAACTTTTCAGAATGTCCTCCAGATTTAGATTGTCTCCCATAAATGAAGTGATGCTTCTTAGCCAAAAGAAGGGCAGGAGGGTAGCTGAAGTCATTCACTTCTGTGATTAATTGAATTGGCCACTGGATGCCAGTGTTGTTCCGTGTAAAAGTAGTTTGAGAAGCATATCCTGAAGAATAGTTTGTGTTTAAATAGGAACCAAGTTGTTGCAGAAGTTCTATCTCGGCAAGCTCTTGTCTAAATTCCTTTTCCATATGAACCCCACAGGTGCAGACAAGACTGTAGAGGTATTTCATTTGTGAAGTCTTTATTAGATTTTAGTTTTGTTCTAAGTTTCCTAAATCTGAAATAAAACGCTGCCTGCTTAGATGAGTGTAGCTAGTTTGTCCGGTCAGTTTGGTCTTGTTACTGACTCAAGAGCTAAAGCACTTGTGGATTTTTTTGTGTAGTCCAGCCACAGTTCCTTCCTTCCGCACTTGTGGATTTTTTTGTGTAGTCCAGCCATGGTTCCTTCCTTCAGTTGCTCGGAACCTCTTCTGCCACTGACCAATGTAAACCTGTGTCAGTAGTTCAAATACGAAATCTGTTCTTAAACTTGCTATGTGCGTTTCTTCAAAAAACGTGGAGCAGTAATAACGAGGTATATAGAATCTCTAGCTTTCCATCTCCTGGTAAGTTGTATATATTTTTCCATTAATTTCTGGAAGGAATTGGTTGCCTGGAATTTTGCTGCTGGGAATGATTAATTTGATTTTTTTGAAAGGAAGAAGTGTGGACTTCGTTTCCAGAGTGGGAAATAAGTATGAAATAAGTGGTTAAACTGTTCTGTCTGCTGCTGTCAGTAAAACAGCACAGGTTCACACCTGCAGTGTGTAGTCTGTGGATGTTATCCCGAGAATGCCAGGACACAACAGTGAACACTGAGGGCGGCTGAGGAGGTGATACAAATCATAAGAGGTTGGAAACTGGTAACTTTTTGAGCACAGGGACTACTGGAGTAAAGTTCCTTTAAAGGCTGGCTGTACTCCAAGCTCTGAAGCTCCTGTAGCCCTTGGTGTGGTTAGGTGGTCTTCCCTGGTATCCGGGACAGGGTGCTGCTTGGATGGGACGTGTTTCTGGTCTCTGTAGTGCTGCTGCATTTTCACAAAACCTGGAGGAATTTGACTTTTGGAGGTGATGGGGAGATTTTGGCTGATCTTGAGTGTGGTTGAAATGGACTTCTTAGTAGTTGGAGCGGAATGAAGAACATGGGATTGGACCCAGGAAGTGACGTGGAATTCCGTACGTGCTCTGTTTTCTTAAAAAACAGGCGTAAAAATGTGAAAGAAGGCTATGAAAGGGAGGGAGCATCCTTTGGAATTCCGTACGTGCTCTGTTTTCTTAAAAATGTGAAAGAAGGCTACGAAAGGGAGGGAGCATCCTTTCCCCCCCACACCATTTACACCATGTTTATATGTATAAATATATATTTATGTTTATGACTTTTGGTTTTTTAAGATTTAAATACTGGAAACTGTTCCCATACTCAGCCTTTCTTCAAGGTAACGTGGTGTGTGAAGAACATCTGTATGAATTTACTCAAGAACTTAATCTGACTGGTGGAAATCAATGCTGCATTGGACTAATACCACATTAAAAAATAACAGTATAGTACTACCTTTTAAAAGATAGTTTCACTTGTCTTAAAGAAGTAAAATTCCTGTTTTAAACAGGGATGGTTTTTGCTCGCTACTGTCCCTACCGATTTTACACCTGTGAGAATGCAGGAAAAATGGGAAAAGTCTGTGATACCTGACTTCTCTTGGCTTTGGTAGAAAAAAGTGATAATACTGGTGTGTTTTTCTGTAAGTGGTGGCAAAATGTTTGGTTTGTTCTTACAAGTTGGGCTGTGGTTGGGCTCTTTACTGCTCATCACCATCGTGGAGTATGACTAATACTGTCTCAGCTATTCCAGGTCCCATTGACCGGAGTGGCTCGGAAGCCTGTACTCATTGTTTTTCCACATCTCTCAACAGTGTTTCCTCTAGCATGTCAAAAAAACCCTCTCAAAAGACAGTGGTGTATAATGGACAACATAATTGCAAGGATAACGTATGTCACCTCTGTGCTTTTGATTATTCTTTGAATTATCTTTAAGATGCTGATCTTAGTATTCCTTGCATCGTGTCATCTGACTTGTGCCCTTTCCTAAAAACAAATTACAACTTTGACCCTTGAGCACTGCCTTGTCACCCTTGATTAGCAAAAAAAGTCCCTTCCATATTGGTTTTGTGTGTTAAAACTGTAAGAGAACTGTGTGCCATGTCAGGCAAGTAAAACTCTGCCAGGCTTCTTTTGGAATTTGTTTCTTAAATAATAAAAGCCTGTGCAGTTGCATGATCTAAGTGACTGTTTCATATCTGATGTTAGTCAGTTTTACAGACTTGACATCCCACATTTGGGTTCCATTTTCAGACAAAGTGATATTTACACATTGAGCTTTGCAATTGCTGTGGATTTTAATTGTTTTAATTTATTATTGAAATTCAACCAGACCTTCATCTGGTACCTCTAAGCAACAGCAGCTGTAATCTTTCACCGTTTCTATAAAACTGCAAAACCTCTTGTAGAGGCATAAGAGTTGGGTGTGATGTTTTTCTTTGAGAAGTGTACCAATAAATGCTAGATGCATTTTACTGAAGAAAATTGATAGGGTTTAGTACCTGTTTTAGAAACTGTTTATAAAACTAAATGGTCACTGTTTTTTAACGTGAAATAGGTATATGCAGCTATTTCAGGCCTTAATGTGTCCTAAACTTAGGCCTGCGTGTCATCTGAAATAATTATAGCGGGCCTAGCTAAGCGTCTGTGCTTTGGACCTGATCCTATTATGTTAATTTAAATATTAAGTACTTTATTTAACATTTTTTTAATGTGAACAATTCAAATATGTGCACTTTTGCAAGCAGTGAAAGTCTTCAGAGTAGACTTGGTGGCAGAGCATTTGCGTGTTTGCTCAGTATGCAACTTTCAAGGCTCGGTGTACTTGTAGAGGATGAGATTGCTGTATTTTAGCATCAGAAAACACCCGAGTTTCTGACTTCTTAAAAACCCATTTTTAACTGTGACCATTGTGACACCAAATTGTGAAAATTACGCATCTTAATAAAGGGCTTCTGTCTAGTAATTTGCAGTTGATCCTTAAAACTCAATGAAATATCGGCTTCAGAATGAACAGGCTGTGTGTTGTAAAAGTGAACAGTCCCAAACTGATGCACGTGTGTGTGTGTGATCGCTGCTGCGGAGATGCGGTAGCTGATGGCAGTTAGCTTTTATTGAAAACCTTGGGTTAGTTCAAGTAAACATTTAGGAGCGTTTGGTACTAGGATTACACCACCAGCAAGAGTCTGAAAAAACCTTGGGTTGGTGAAGTGAGTAAAAACAAGCTTGAGCACTTGTTACTTGGTTTTTGTCCCTCCAAACACTGGATCTGATAGTTCCGTAAAACATCCTCTGCAGACAGCAGTCAAGGCTAAATCTTTCTGAGAACACTCCTAACCTGTAGAAAACAGAAGTCATCTTAGAAAGGAAGAGTCTCCTTGTACTTTGAGTTTATTTAGAGAGTGGCTTTCCTTGGGAACCGTGCTCCAGCCCGATCTCTAGATGCTTGGTGTGTATGTTACAGTGAAAGGATTTTTGAAAATTGGGTTTTGAGAAGGACCTGGGTCTTAGCCTTGTACTTGCGAGTTCTGCACATGCCCCAGAAGGGCACCAAACGCGTTGGAATACCCAGTCCCGTTTGCATGCTGGAGCACCGTTCTCTGAAGTGGAGGAGAGCCTTTGGCTCGGGGTGCTGGGGCCAGCTCTCCAGCGACACGGTGGTTTTGTACCTCTCGTTGCCTGAGGAAAAGGCGTTAATGACTCCCGGTGCTTCAGCAGCGGTTTGCCAGCGCTTCGCCTTCGCTTTGAATCGTCCTGTCAACAGCCAGAAATGGCAGCATTGATCTCTCCAAGAAAGGCTTAGCTTTTGGATGAATTGGTGGTGGTACCTTGGTCTTCCAGGTTGCATTTCCAGACTTGAAGCATGAGAGGTGGCTTTGGATCCAGGTTTTCACAACTGTTTTTAGAGGATTGTTACCGCTCTTTCGAATGCGGTTGTGCGAGAGACGGTAGAATTGTAAAATGTTCCTGCTTTGTCGTGTGTCGTTGTTCTTGATCAGGTCAGTGCAACGGCGTTTAACGTGGAGAGCTGTCTTTTTGAGAAAGTGTTTCACGAGGAAAGAAACCTAAGAGCAGTTGAACGCAAGTTGATGAATACCCACATTGTATTACTTAGACATCACGTTCATTTCTAAATAGGACGTCGTAAAACCGTGGACTTCAACAATCCTATGTTTGCCTCATGCTAAAAGGTGTTAGCACAGAAAGCACGCCCTGGTATGTGCTGTCTGCTCTCATGATTGTGACCCAAATACTTCTTTTGGTGGTCTCAAAAGTTATAATCTCAATCAGATTCTTCTGAAACCACTTGTTCTTACTTGCACAAAGGATTTGTAATGCAACATGGATTTCTAACAACGGAATATGCAGTATGCTGCATGTGAAACTCCTCAAGTGTTTGTGCTGGGTTCAAACCCACTTGCCTGCTATCGAAAAACAAGTGATGCACTGGTCCTGACTCTGAGGACTTGAGTCCACTCTCAAGCTGACCTGTTCAGTGTCTTCTGAAAGGTGATACAGGTCTGGTAGAATAGGGGGAGAAACCCAGAAAGAACAACCACCACAAAGCGCAGAACCAGGCACTTGTGGAGTTCAAAGGGTGCTTTGCAGTGTAGCCTTCTTGTTAGGTTGGTTATTAGTAACGTTGCAGCTCCTCAGAGTTCTTGTCTTGTCTTTCAGGGGAGGATAATTATTTAGTTCGTTGCCAGGAGATGGCAGTAACAGATAAACTTTTAAAACCATAGAATCGTTTCGGTTGGAAAAGACCTTTCACATCATCAAGTCCAGAACATTTTGTGCATGAGTATCACCTGACCGTCTTGTGTTTGCCTGTCACTTTCTCCCTTGAGAATTGTTTGTTCCGCATCTGACATGTTCGTCATCTTTACGTTCACAAATGGCTCAAACCTGTAAGCCAGGTGTTCGCAATACATTCAGTGCCAGCGTGGCTACTTTGTCCCATGACCTTCCTTTAAGTATGTGGTTGAAATAAGTGCAGAGTTATGGTTTGCTTAGTGCTCTTTGACAAAAAGAGTTGAAGTTTCCTTCATCTAAGGTGGTTGTGATGATTCCTTTACTAAATTATGCCAGTTAGGCAAAATTACATTTCTCAACTTTGGAATGAGAAGAGCAGAGGATGGGTACCTGTTCAGCGTTATCCTGTCGTTGCATCTTTACTAGAGGTAACTAGTGGTGTTTTGACCAAACTGTGCCCAAGGACAGCTGTTCCTTTAGCTGTACAGACAGTTTATTTGATGAACTCTGTATCATTCATTTGCTCGTTCACCTGCAGTCTTTCAGGTGCTTGAGGAAAGAATTTTGCACCTTAAAAGCACAGACTTTGGAAGCTTTGCCTGTCATCAGGGTATCTTACAGTACTGGCTTTTTTGGAACCCAGGCATAGCTGGAGTGTGGTTTTCTTCAAACAAAGGGGAACTAAGGTAATCTGAAAAGGTTTGTTTGGTGTGTGCCTCTGCTCCTTCTGCCGCACCACAGCTGAGTAAAAATGCCTTTCACGTGGAAGGGACAGGACAGCATCCTTGTACCTCTGGGAGAGCTGGAAGCTGAAAGTCAGTGCAGTTATCATTCTGCCACATTTTGCAGAAATACTGTTGGCATCAGGGTGTTTTCCTCTCTTTTTTTAATAATTTCTGGGTCTGCTGGTTTAACTGTAACCTACTTTGGTGTTTACTCCTAGTTTCTTCTAACTTCTTCCAAACTTTGCAGTCATTCATTTTTATATTTAATTAGTAACCTTGAAACATAGTAGCCTGATATGGGTTAAACGGAATTATCAGTTTTGCCATTTCTTAGCGCTGTAGGCTTTTCTGTTGCCTAATGGTTTGACTAACTAGCCCTGTGTGAAGTATAAATCCCTGAACTACGGCACACATGCTGGGCGGATAGTGAACGCACCCATCTAGCGCTCTGGGGAGGGAGGCTGATCTCAGCTCAGGAGTTGGATAACGGCTATTGAAAGCAAAATGGTGCAGTGAAATGAAAATGGAAACACAGGAACCTCAGTGTACTGCTCTGCTGATAGAGGGTTTGCAGTTCTGGTGGTTAATTGCCATACCCTCTGCACTGTTTGCTTTGGGGGCTGCAGTGCCCTGTCTAGAAAATTCTTCCTCTTGCTCTTCGACATGTAATGTGCTCTGTGCTGGGAAGATATGTAGAGGGCTGCGTTGTGTGATTACGGAGTTGCAGATGTGCCAGACAGTCCCTTGCTCTGTGCGCGCTGATTTTACGTTGCTGAACACAACTGTTTTGTACTGAAGTCTAAACTGACTGTTAGGTCTGTTCCTGTTAAAACACGATGTGTGTCCCGTTCACGTGTAACCTTCAAAATCAGAGCAGTGCTTACTCAGCAGACCTGTTTGTTTTCTTTATTTTTATCTAACCGTATCCTCCTCCTTGCACAGTGAGTTAGTTTGTCTTCGTGATGCCCCAAGGATTCATTATTTTAAACTAACTCTTGAAAATGACATTGCAACGATTACATTTTTCTGGAAAAACCTTGAGAATTGTTACAAGTCGCATAACATCACAGTAAGACAAATATATCCTAAGTAAACAGTGGTTAGCATTGCAAAGTTGTTTTCTACTGGAAAGATTGGGATGCAGCAGACTGGAAGACGCTTTTACAATGCATTTAAATCCCCTGGTATTTTCTTCAAACTGCTGACGTAGGAGATGGCGCAGCTTAAAGCTGCGCTGAGCGATGGTGGTGTTAGGAGAGAGTTTGCTGGTTTGGAGGGAGTCAGATTTGAGACCCACCAGTTGTTTGGACCTTGTTACTTTTCAGTTACTTGAATGTTGTTATGACTGGTATTGAAAAATTTATATAAACTCAGTTTACATTGTAGGAGCCTTCACCGTTCTTTAAAGCCTTTTGATAGTTCCCTAAATTGTGTAGAAGAAATGAGGAAATGCTCTCCAACTACATGTGTTGGTTTCTCCTTTCTATTGCTGTTCATTTTTTACGAAGGCCATGCCAAATTTAGCGTGCAGTGGAGGACTATATGAACACACATTCGTAATTCTTTAAAAAATTAACAGTAGTTTCTTTGATTTTTTCAGGACTATTTGAAGCCTAAAGTAGGCTGTCATGAGATAAAGTGGAAAATTAAAAAGGCCGTCATCTGCTGGTTTGAAAGATTTTTTTTTTTTTTTTTTTTCATGCTTGGCCAACTGGCGTATGTTGTTCACGAAAATGAAGTTATTCTAGATCTTGGATTTAGTGGAGTTCTTGGGAAAGCAAAATTGCAGGTCCTTTGAAATAAGTGTCAGACTCACCAGTGATTTTTTTGTGGGACCAATGACGCTGTAGTTGGAATATGAACAAGAAAAGTTAGATTGCTGTTTTAAATCTAGTGCAGGTATACTATCCAAGTGGTTCCTGTGCGTGTACCTTTACTCAAATACAGTCACATTTCTGAATCTTAACGCCCTCAGCAGGAGACAAGATGTAGGCAAAGACCACAAGTAAATGCGTGCAGCGTTCCACCTGGCTTATGTCTTGGTAGGTCTGTGGTGGCAGCTTACTGTCTTCATCATCTTTTTTGGTGTGCTTATTCTTTCTGTCAGCTTCACCTTTAGCACCCAGTGCTTTTAGATAAGTATTAACTGATATTTATGAATAATGTGCTGCAGCATGTTGCCTACATAGACCTGGATCAAGGGGCAGGGCCCCAATTCTGGTATATCTGAACTTCTGCCGGCGTGTTGAGTGCATTTAATATGTAAATCCAGCCCTACCAGGATATAAAAGGATCAGAGGGGTTAATAAAATGCTTCTGGTGGCTAGGATCTTCACGATGAAGGCCGGTGTTTCCCCAGCACACTAGTGACTCTTGCTTGTTGGCCAATATACCTTATGCTGCAGGTGAAATTAGAGCATGAGAATTGCTCAGGTAGGTGTTGTTTCTGGGATCTCGAAGTACTGCCGAAGGCCCTTCGTTTGGAGTAATGTTGTTTTGACAGTCCAGTCAAAACCCAGTAAAGCTCGTGTTGTCAAATCGGCATATGCAGGCTGGGTCGCTGTAGAAGGGAAAGTGCCCCGAGGGAGGGAGAGCAGCAGATGCAGGAAAGGTGCGAAGATAATATCTGGTTTTATGGCTATTGGGAGATCTTTGTGAAGCTGAACTAAATTTACTTTGTGCTGGAAGTTACAGCGCAGAATTTACGGTGGCCGTGCATTTGGTGCTAGGAAGTTTTTGCAGAATCTTTGCTCGTGCTTCCACTGGGATGTCTGCCTTCGTTCCTGTGGAGTCCCATCTTCTGCTGAGTTGAATTATCTGTTGTTATACGTAAAGGAGTAGTAAAAGAATCAATATTTTAATTTCACATTACTGCCGCTTAGCGAAGCCTCTGCTTGAAGATGATTTTTCGGACCGTGTAGCCCGATGCACTATGTGCTCAAAAAGTTCCAGGACTCCGTACCCAGAAGAAGTAAAATGCTTTCTGCTGCGTGCGTACTACGCTGAATTTTGGGTTGTGCTCATTCTTCCTCTGGAAATGGGACAGTCCAGTGGGCAGACTAGGAAAGGAGTAGAATGTTAGAGATACTTCAGCGTACCTGGTTGGATGAATTTGTAACTGGTGCCTGTATGTGTGATGATTTAATTATCATGTCGCTCCAGGGCCTTAAAGCTGTGTTGGCTTTCTCTGAATGTATTGCAAAACTGTTCAGTAGTTTACGGTGAAGTGACTGACGTTTTGATTGCCTTTATTTCTTTGTAGAGCAAGGCTTAGATCACATAGCAGAAAACATCCTTTCCTATCTTGATGCCAGATCACTCTGTGCAGCAGAGCTGGTATGTAAGGAATGGCAGAGAGTCATCTCTGAGGGAATGCTATGGAAAAAATTGATTGAAAGAATGGTACGCACAGATCCGCTATGGAAGGGACTGTCAGAGAGAAGGGGTTGGTAAGTACCTTGACAATAACTAAATTCACCTTTTACAGTGTTCTCCTTTACAAGTTTCCCTAATCATGGGCTCTGCCAAAAAATCAGTGTATAGTAAATAGGTATCACAGAGGTGCTTCTCGCCGCTGGGGACTAGCGGGGTCAGCTATGGCGAAAGCTGTCAGCTCCTGTTTCTGCTTTGGCTTTGTCCCCTGTGCTTTTGTGCACCAGTGTCTTTCAGCACTTATTTTCTTGTGATAAGCCTGCAAATTTGTAATTTCTGTTTGGCAGGGAGAACTGACATGTAGAGTCAGCTCACAAAACCTAGCAGCAACATGTTTTGCAGGGCTTTTTCTCATGTGAAGCCTTTTCAAGTAAACTTTTTTTTTT